AGGTTAAAACAAAAATCCCGACAGATTGTTGACACTAATTTGAATTTCCCTCTGCCTTTTAAACAGCTATATTGCAGGTCGGGATTTTGACTGTCGGGATTTTATCCGAATTTTTGCTGTCGGGATTTTGGCTGTCGGGATTTTGACCGTCGGGATTTCTGCTATCGAATTTCGGTTGTCGGGATTTTGACTCTATGATTCTGGCTGTCGGCATTTTGGCTGTCGGGATTTTATCTCGAAGAGCGAAGAAGCAAGAATTTATACTCAGAAACTTAATTTTCACGAGTTTCTCACACGGTGACAATTTTTTTAAAGGGGCCAGCAAGGCATTACTGTGGGGTTTGTTCTCTTTGGATGAGAGCCTAAGTCGCGTAGCCTAAATACAAGCCTAAGCCCGCCTAAAAATTTCTCCGAAATGTTCCAAAAGCCCGAAAGTCAAAATCCCGACATGCAAAATACCTAGCAAAAATATTCGGTTTCGACCACGCTGCGCAGTTTTTCAAATCCTTGGCCGGGTGCCAGGTGACGAAAGACTTTTGCGTTTCTAAAGAACACCTCTAACGGACAGAACTTTCATTTCTCGCGCATTGCCACTTACAGCCCCCTCCATACTTTCACCGTTCCCCCCTCTGGCATAAGCCTATCAGGGTGTGGAATAGGAATGGAATGGAATGGAATGGAATGGAAAGGAGGGGAAGTAGGAAAGAAGCGGAAAGAAGGGAAGGGCTAGAGGTGGAGGATGTTCGACAGGCATGCCCCCGGACGGACCGGGGGCCGCTTTTTGCTTTTTTGACGATCCCCGCTCGAGGCTCCCGGCGCCCACCCATCCGCACTTCTTCACCCTGTCGCCATCGCCACGCCATTCTGAGGCTCTATTTTCGGTGTTGGTCCAGATTCTGGGCTTTCACTTATTTAACCTTTAAAGCTATTTTATTCAAATTTTAATGAATGACCATTTCAAACGTCAATCTTCAAAGTATATTTTTTGGCAAACTAACGCCTATTTTGGACGCCTATAAGTCGATGAGCATCTACTTTTTTAGATTTTTGAATCAAACCTTACCAAAATGACGTTTGAGCCTCAGCTTGAGCGCTGTTTTCGGTGATTCTCCACATCATCGGCTTTTCCCTTTTTTCTGCTAAATCTCCAGCTTCGACTTGGGTTTAAAAATTATTAGGCCATAAAAAGATCACGTTTCTGCCAAACTAGGACCTGTTTGAAAATCTCGAAATCGATTAGCATCTACTTTGTAGAGATTTTAATTAGACCTTGCAAAAATTAGGTTTGAGCCTGACCTTGCGCTCAGTTTTTAGCGATTCTCTAGATCCTGAGCTCTCTGATCAATCTCCAGCTTATTTAGCTTTCTATCTTTCTTCCGCTTCGATAAGCTTCGATTTCGAATTTTGTTCAGTTATACAGTTTATTCATTGAAACTAAGCCCTATTTTGAACGTCTCGAAGTCGCTTTCTTTCTACATATTATTAGCGTTGGATGATAGCCATCAAAAATTGCCTTTGAGCCTGATTTTGAGCTCGATTTGGAGTGATTCTGGAGTTTCTGGTCTTTCCCCAAGCTTTTCATGGAAGATGGTGTCCAATTTTCGAATTACTTTGATCGAAATAGATTCCAACCAAAACTGAATATTTCTGCTGATTTTGGCTACATTTTTCAATTTTCAGAAGTGGCGCTTTTCAAGAGATACGATTTATACATACTTAAAATCAGCGCTTTGGTTTTAGCGACCTTGAATTCTGATGTTATTGCCGATCGGCTGTCAGCTATGACTCCCCCCCCCCCCCCTGATATTTTTGAGGGCCACTTGTGCTGGGGCTGTATTTGAGATTCCGGATATGGGGGGGGGGGGGGGATGAAGCTTGAGGCTTGGCATGGCTCCCCCTCCGTTCCGCAAGTATGCCCTCCGATCCCCCCTGCCTCAACACCTACGGGCAGGCTTTTCCTCGGCTTTTCCCGGGGGCGATACCACCCTAAAAAAGGTGCGAGGGCAAAATCTCGAGAGGATGGATTAAAAGTCTCGATCTAAATTTAAGCCAATAAACCACATACACCTACTTTTTTTGGAGCATCATCGAGCCAGGAATTTCAATAACGCGTTTTTACAATACAAAAAGCCTGAACTTTACTTTTAGAAACCATTAAAATCCTCTTTATATGAAAACTTTTTTTTAAAGGAACTTACTTTAAAACTTACTTTTTTTGAGGCGCGAGCAAGCTTTAGAACAAACAAAAACTTGTTTTTTTGTACTATAGCCTCCGAAAACGAGGCTTTAGAGACTTCTAAAACTGAACTACGGTTTTATATACGGGGTCGTATTTTAAAATGCAAAGACCTCTGGAAATTCCAGAAAATTCTAGCAAAAATGCATTTTGCAAAATATCTAACCCCTGTAAAACAATCTGGGACCTAAGCTAATGCCAAAAATTTCAAAATGTAACGCCGCCTTACAACCCCAGGCACATGGGAGCCCAGAGTACGTAAAAATGACAAGTTGCTTTCGCACAGCTCTAGCACACGGCGGTCGTGATGACTGTCATGCAACTCTGTGTGCACCGGAGGGGGTCGAGCCCTCGACCTGCGGGGCGGGGGACCGCCACGCTAGCCAGTAGGCCACGACGACAACCCGGGGTGAGGTCACCGGGAGAGTGAAGAGGCGTGGGGGAACACATGACGCGACCGCTACGAGTCATTTTCAAAGGTTTTCTTACTTAAAAATCGCTGAAATAGGCTTATTAAAATGATATTTTAAATCAAGGCAAGTAAACGGAAAGCCTAAATTTTTGTTCCGTAGCAATTTTTCGCGGAATAAAATAGGATCTAAAGACAATTAAATTTAACCTTTTAAAACGGAATAACGCCAATTTAATGGTTAAAGGTTTGTAATAAGTATTGTCTGACTTTTTAAACTTAAGCCTCGCCTAGGACAACCCTAATTTAAGCCTATGCCTACGCCTAAGCCTAAGCCCAAGCATAAGCCTATGCCTGCCTAGGTCAAGCCTAACTTAGTCACTTAGTAAGTTAAGTTTACGCCTAAGCCTAACCTGGGCTAACCTAACCCAGTAAATCTAACCAAAGACCAGCCTAAGCCTCTGCAGTCCTTATGGCAACTCCCAAGTTTCACCTCACTCCGCCCGGTTCCGCCACCATACCTTGCCTTACGCTCGCCCTGAGCAGTCGCAAAAATATGATGGAACACCGATTCCGATTCGCTAGCTGCTATGTGGCACATTTCGGGTGGGGCGTCGTTTCGTAATCTGTGTGGATCGGCACTAGGGGATGCTGCGGGGCACTTTTTAGAAGGCGTTCCACAGGAGGGGGTTTTCACCCCCCCATTGCCACATCACCACGGCGAGCCACAGAATCTTTTTTGCGGGAACCCAAATCCGGTTGGGATGTTCGATTATGGATTTGGAGCGTTTTAAAGGGAGCGTGACAGTCAGGGGCTGTTGATTCATTACTTCTTTTGCTTTGTCATTAATGCAACATTTTTAAAACGAGAGACACGGGATCCACAGCCAAGAATCGATAATCTCGGATTGTCTGTCCCTTTAAGATGATTCTCTCTATCTCTTTGTTCTATTCTCTCGCTCTCTCTCTCACTCTCTCGCACTCTATGTCTCTCGCTCTCCTCTTCTCTCAATTATATCCTGTTGTTTCCAGGACCCTCCAGCGAACATCCACCGGATGAAGACGGTGGATTTGGTGAGTCCACCTTTTTATGCGCCTGGCTAGGGATTCCTCAATGATCTCTGCTAGCCTCTTTCCCTCAAATAACCTTTGCTAGCCCGCCCTCCAATTCTCACCCATAGCCTTTCATTTGCACGCGAAAGCCCTCTCTCACCCTGATCCGAATTAGGGAGGTGTTCAGCCGGAAAGGCGAAGAGTACAGGTTTTGAACCGAACGCCTTGGCAGTCATAGAAGCTCAGAATTACCTTTTAAAAGAGCCTGGAGGCGAAAAGAACGCTTTAAAGGGGCAAGCAAGGCAGAAAAGCGACTCAGAAGTTTCAGTAAAATGTGTTTTGACATTTCAAAGGGATTCTGAAGGCTAAAAACTTTAATTTTGATAGATTCCGCTGCTCGCCTTGGTGGCGGTGGCCGAGGGGGCGTTGAACGAGTGCAGAAGAAATCCGGTGGAAGTGGCGATACTATTCGATTTGACCCCAGCAGATGAAGCCGTGCTCGAGTTGCAGAAGGATAGAGTTAGGGATGTTATACGGTGGGTTTAATGTCTTTCGCTCTTTCTCTCCCTCTCTCTCTCTCGCTCTCTCTCGCTCTCTCTCTCTCCCGCGCTCTCTCTCACCGTCTAAAATTCTTCCAGACACCTCGATCGTGTCGCCACCACCCGAGACAAGACCTACTCCCTCATCGGCTTCCACCGACGTCCCGTCTTCTTCATCGAGTTCTCCGAATCGTCTTCAGAAGATGATAATCGAGTAATCTACGCTTTTTATACAAAAACCATCTACTTCTCTAGGTACTCGCCGAACTCGCCGGCCTCCAGTCCATCTCCGAGTTCTCCAACGAGACCTCAGTGGCGATAGCGCTTGACGCAGCCGCTCAGCAATTTTCTAGGGTGTGTTTCTCTCTCTCTCTCTCTCTCTCTCTCTCTCTCTCTCTCCCCCTCTCTCTCTCTCTCTACCTGCAATAATCCCTCCTTTAGCTTGGCCGCCCTGACGCTGAACGCCTCGTACTTCTCGTTCGCGATGGTCGCAATTCTGATCTCGTCGCCGAGACTGTCGAAGCCGTAGCTGACCTTCGAGCCCTTGGCGTGTCGGTCTTCGCCCTCTCCGCCGGGCCTCGCCCAAATGGATTTGCGTTAGAGGTGGGAGGGTATTTTAAAGTTTGTATTCCAATTTTAGGGCTACACCGGAAAACGCTCACACGTCTACTCGACCTCCTCGGACTCGCTCGGCTTTGAGGAGGCGCTGGATTTGGCTATTGGCGCTTGCCCTTCCGCTCTATCGCCGGCGCTTATCGAGAAGATGGTCCAGGTCGGTGGCTCTTGAGGTTAAGCCTGTCTAAGTCCAAGCTAAGCCTAAGCCTAAGCCTAAGCCTAAGCCTAAGCCTAAGTCTCCTTTTTCAGCGCCGCCGTTTCGCCGTCCGCGCGATGGACGACGCGAAACGCGTCCGGAAATTTGCCGCGGACCAGCCGTGCAGCCAGCCGAAGGTCGACCTCATGTTGGTGCTCGACACTTCCGGCTCCGTCCACAACGCCTTCGACAAGGAGCGGGCTTTTGCTCTTGATCTTGTCGAACGATTTGAGGAGCAAGACTTTGAGGACAGAATCCGGGTAGCTCGAGATCAAGCAGTCCAGGTGATGCTCAATTTCTAGGTCTCGGTGATTCGGTTTGCTTCTGATGCCCAGATCGTGGTTCCTTATCGGCAGGGGACGACCAAGAAGGAAGTCATTGAGGTGAGGGCGAGCATGAGCATGACCTGCTGCTTGATGTTGTTGATCAACTCCTTGTAGACCATCCGAAACATCGAGTTCACCGGGCAGAACACGAGAATCGCGACGGCTGTCGAGTTGGGAGTGGCACATCTTGAGAAGCATCAACGGCAAGACGCTCAACAGGTAGGGAGCGAGTGATGAAAGAGAGAAAGAACAAGATAGATAGCGAGACAGACAGAGCAAGAGCTAGAGATCGCAAACTATCAAATTCCAGATCTTCGTCCTAATCTCCGACGGCCACGGCCAAGAATTCTGGAACGTGGTCCAGGCGACGGGGAAGAGGCTGCAGGAGACGGAGTGGGAGGTCTTTTCAGTCACCGCATCCAGAGACTTCAACTTGGAAGAGCTGAAGATGTACGCCGGCGAGGACGCCAGGGTGTTTATCGGGCCGAAAAGCGGCAGGTACGGTAGTTTTGGGCGCATTTTAGGGCTTTGCTCTAAGCCAAAGCCGAAATATAAGCTCATCTTCAGCTTCCTCCCCATCGTCGGCAAGTTCATCGACCGCTGCATTGAGAAGGTAATTTCGTGGGTTAATATTCTAATTTTAGTGATTTTAGCGGGGTACTGTAGAGGGCAGTGGCCAAATTGAGCCCAACGAGCCCAAGAAAAAGCAAGAAAAGGAAGTGGAGGGATCGGGGGTGGAAGAAGCCCAAACCATCCAAACGACTACTACCGAAGGGACGCTGACCACGGAGGAGGCTACGGTATGAAATGTTTTGTCTTGCTAACTCTCACTTGTTCCCACTCTCTCTCTCCTTCTCTCTCGCTCTATGTGTCTCTCTTTCGCTCTCTCTCACTCTCGCTCTCTCTCGGCTTCTCGCGCTCTCTATACTCTTTCCCATTCTGATCAAAAAGCAAAAGACTGATCTGGAAGAGAGTTGAACCCGAGCCCCTTTCCTGGCAGTCAAGAACACTTCCATTTTGCTACGTAGCTCCAGTTTATAAATATATGGGGCCTTCCGAGTTCCTTTAAAACCCTATTTCTCGATCTTAGAATTGCAACCTCGACATCATCCTGGTGGTCGATCGCTCCCAATCCGTCGAAACGGACTATCAGGTTTGCCACTCTGAATTCTATAGATTTCCAAATTCCTAAATTTCCTCAATGATCTCTGCTGGCCTCCCCTACCTCTCCAAAATCCCGAATTTTCAGAAAGAGCTCAAAACGGCCACCGACGTCGTGGGGCTCGCCTCAAAATCGGCCTACGAAACGGGCCAAGTCCGCGTCGGCGTCACCTCGTTTGCTAGGGTATGAAAATTCGCTTTAATTTAGTATTTTCTATATTTTAATTGATTACGATATATAAATAGCTACATTTAGGAGGGAAAGCTGGAGATACCGCTTCGAAAAGCCACCAGAGCCAACATTACGGACATGATTTCGAGCATCTACCACACTGGGGGAAGCACGTCGGCCGTGGCTGGAGTTGAGCAGGCGATCAGGGTATGGATTCGGGGTTTTAAAGGGAGTTGGAAGCGAAAATTTGCGTAGAATGCTTCGAATTTTAAGTAGAGGAGAAAATACCGACCACCCAAAGCACGACAGCGATAATACAGAGCTAAAATCCCGACAGCCAAGAATGCCGACGACCAAATAAGCGATCGGGATTGTCGGGATTTTGACTGTCTGGATTATGGGTGTCGGCATTTTAGCTGTCGGCATTTTCACGGTAGTGACTTCGGCTGTCGGGATTTTGGCTTTTGGGATTTGGTCTATCGGTTTATTTTCCTGCCGGAATTTTGGCCGTCGGCATTATAGCCATATTTTTATTTAAGAAATTTAGAAATATGGTGCTTTCTAAAATACCGCATTTTAGGGGAGTACGATACTTCAAAAATGACGTAGCTATAGAAAAATAAATATTTTCCGAAATTCATGCCTCAAATTTGCTTTTTTCGGCTTGTTTTTGCTAACCTAGCTTGGCTTTCTAGCTTGGGCGGCTTTGGGTGCTTAAAAGCTTCCTAAACTAACCATAACCACTTAGAAACCATGCCGCCACCCTCGCCAACAGCCACCTCCAACTAACCCAATTAACAATATAACGGCAAAACAATCAAATCTAGCAAAATCTGATGGTCGTACGGTGAAGCTGGATGGAAAAAGAGACAACAAAAAATCGATTGAAGAAGATCGAAAATCGATAAAATTGCTGGAAGAGCTGTACGCCACGATACTCAGAACGTCGCTGAAGCCGGAGCCGCTGGAGTCCATGAGAAGCGTACAAAACCGAGAAATGCCGAATGAATTTGAAATTTCCACGACAAGCCAAAGTACGACTACGCAAAGATCCGTAATTACGGATGCTTCTGTAGTAAATACAGAAGCCACCGTAACTACAGCAACCGAAAATCCCTTCGAAATGGGGAGCGGCTTTGAGGAAATGTTGCAAAACAATATTGTAACGGCCGTAATCGCGCAAAATGAGGCGACTACCGTAACCCTGGCGGATACGGTAGCATCTGATACGGCTACAGTAACTCCTGCAAAGAGGCAAATATCGGAAAATGGTCGCGAAGCTCTGCCGGCTACTGAAGCTCCCGGCCTGCCTACCGTAACCCCCACAAAGAGTCAAATGTCGGAAAATTCTCTTAATTCGGATACGGTATCTGGGAAAATAACGGGAAATGAACGTGAAGATCCTTTTGACGAAACTATCGTAATAAGGCAAATATCGGAAAATGAACGGCGTCCTGTAACTACTGTGGATAGGAATGTAGCGGAATCGAAGAAGCCGACTCTGGAAAGTACTGTATCGCCTACCGTACCCCTCGTAACTAGGCCGCAATCAGAACCGGAAGTGATTTCCGGAAGTGAAGATGCTGTAGAGAATCTAGTCCTCGCTACCGCAACCGCTGTAGATAGGAATGTAGCGGAATCGAAGGTATCAGCCCGGAAAAGTACTGTATCACCTACCGTGCCATTCGTAATTAGGCCGGAATCGGAAACTGAAGAGGTTTTCGGAAATCAGGATACTGTAGATGACCTAGTTTTCACTACCCTAGAACCCGAAAATTGGAACCCCAAGGAAATTGGAGAATCCTCATTGGCTTCTACAACCCAGGTAGAAACGGCTACCGTGCCTCTCGACCGTACAACTGTAGCAGAGATAACTACCGCGAACACGGCGACCTCAAGCAGTACGAAAGGCACCAACGTACCGAATTTCAACCGAAAGTTGGCGCTGCTAAAATCGTATCTTCTTGAAAGGCTATTTGAACCAAAAATCGGGTCCATTCCGAAGCGCTCCAACGGCCGGGTGATGTTACAACTTTTTGAGGCCGAGCTGAAAGGTGAGCACGACTTGAACACGTCAATCCGGAAACCGGAATCAACCGGAACCTCCCGAAAAAGACCTCAAACTCCAAAAATCCCAGGCGCGGTCCGTCGCCTCAGGATGGAAAAGTCGAGCATTAAAGCGAGAGATGATGACCGAACGCCGAAAATCATCGTATTCCCCCGGAAATTCCGTAAAAACAGGACTAAAACTGGGTTTTTCGGCTCGACAAAACCTCAACTTCAACAAGTTCGGATTCAGAAGATATTCAAGGTATCGGGAGAAGCCCGAGGAATTCCGGAAGCCGAATTTTGGGCGGGGATCCTGAAAGGCTTGAAAGAAAGGGAAGAAACTGAAGGTTCCGAGACTTTCCAAACAACGCTGACGTATCATGCCGCGAAAGATGCAAATTCTACAGTACCTGATGACCAGGTTACGGTAGGTGAACCAGAAATCTCTCTAAAAAATGTCGAAAAGCAGGAAAATTCGGATTCCGAGCCTTTGCTAATGACGCTAAAGTCCGATATGGAAAATCCGGAAACTTCCACAGTATCTGCCTTCCGGGTTACGGTAGCAAAACTCGTAAGACCGCTACAAATTCCTGAAAAACAGGAAAATGGAAACTCCGCAACGCTCAAAGTGACGTCACAATTTTCGGCAGCACGTTCGGAAAGTTTGGATAATTCTACAGTATCTACTGGCCGGGTTACGGTAGTTGGCTCAGAAAATCCGGAAGATTCAAATTCCGATACTTTCCAAACGACAAAACAACTTTTTGAAGAAAATCTTCAGACTTCTACAGTACCGAGCCCCTGGGTTACGGTAGCCAGCCCTGAAAACGCTTCCGAAACTGTACAAACTACAAAGCAACCCTCAATGCGCGCCGAAATTTCGGGTTACCAACTACGAAATACACATAACAACTCCACAGGAACCGCGGAGAACCGGGTTACGGTACCCGACCCGGCGCCGCAATTCCCCGACTACGAACTACAACCCGATGCCACCACGGCTCCGCCGACAATTTTGGACCCGGCCGGCGAAATTAGCATGCGAAAATTGCCCGAGTTTTTCAGGGTCATTTCGAGGGATCGCTTACTGTAATAATGCTGCTTTTTGTGTTTTTTTTACTACCATTTTCTGATTTGGCTTTAATTTAAATGTCTTTAATGAATACTATTTAATTTAGCGCGTATTTTAAAGTGACTAGGAAATCAGGAAGTTCAAAAAATGAAAATATTGTCGAAATTTGCATAAATTAAATGACTGTTAGGACTCAAATAATATTTTAAAACTAATTTAAAATAGCATTGAGAAAAAATCAGGCTAAAATTCAATAAATGGTTATGCAAATTAGCATTTTCTTGCATTCCAAGTCCCTTTAAAGTAGTAACATATTATTTATTTAGCGTTTTTGAAATTTTGCTTTTTTTTATATGGTAATTCCTGAATCTCTTGAACTTGTGAATTCAATAGATCGATTCTATTTCTAGATGCCAAGTTATTGATTTTTCGTTGGAAATAAATGTACTTTCAGCACCTGTTGCCAGCGCGCCGCCCAAAAACCCGGCTTCTCGTCGTGCTCATCTCCGACGGGCACAGCCAGGACTTTTGGGACAAGCTGACCAAGACGGCCAGGTAAATGAATAATTTTTGGGTTCTAAAGGGATTGGCAAGGCCTGTTTCTGGATTTCCTAAAAGGTGTAGAATCCATAGAAATGCCTTGCGCGCAACTTTAAACCGCCTGAACTTGATGAAAACGCTGGGGTTACAGCTAAAATCCTTGGATAACTAAAACCTGTAAAAAAGCTGCGTTTACCTTTCTACGACTTCAACTACTTGGAAACGTCGGCTTTACAGAATATTTGGAAATCTAGAATCTATAGAAATGCCTTGCGTGTACCTTTAACCAGCCTGAACTTGTTGAAAACGCCGGATGGTTTTCTAGAATCCTTCAAGCCCTGCCGAACTCGTTGTTCTTGGCGGCCACGAATTCGGAGAAGTACTCGTTGAGCGAGTTGACGGTGGGTAGGGTAGAAAATCACTCTCTCTCCCTCCCTCTCTCTCATGATCATGATCTCTCTCTCCCACTCTCCCTTTTCCAGGCCTGGACCGGCAACGCCTCGCACGTCTTCCACTCGCAGCAGATCCCCGTCTTTCTCGACAGGGTCAGACGCGAGTTTCGGCACTGTGGAGCGGAAAGTCAGAAAGCCGTGCGTGTCATTATTGTAGTCTGTAGCCCAGATTTAGGACCAAATTATTGCGAACGTAGCATCGAAGGTTCAAGAAATCGAGGGGTCTGGAGATGTGGAAGGATCCGGAGATGGTGTTATCACAACTGGTAGGTTCTCTATCGCTCTCTCTCATTCTCTCTCTTTCTCTCTCTCTGATCTCAACATTGCAGACGCCGTCATCGAGAAGAACACGCCTGCGAACCACACCGATGAGCCGCTGACCGACTCGCACGAGCAGGTAAGGGAGCGAGAGAGTGAGAAAGAGAGAGAGAGAGAGAGAGAGAGAGAGAGAGAGAGAGACTATAATAGCCCGTTCTTAGAAGCCGCGCGGAGTCAGCGATCCACTAAACGAGGGTATCCCGCTGGTGACGAGGCCTGGCACGATCAAGTCGACTTTCGATGGAAGTAGGTGTCTTCAGGGTTTTTTGGTGGCTCCCAAATGATCTCTGCTAGCCTGCCCTTGTATCCTCAATGATCTCAGCTAGCCTTCCCCTTTCTAGAAGGACCCTGCAAGGTCGACCTCGTCTTCGTAGTCGACATCTCCACCTCAGTTGAGCAGGAGTTTGAGAAGCAAAGGCAGTTCACCCTGGATCTGGTGCGTTTTAAAGGGACGGTGAAATGACTTTTATGACCAGTAGATGAGGTCAAATCCAAATTTAGGTAAATCGCCTTCCCCGTGAAGATTTCGACAACCGAGTCCACGTCGGGATAATCGCTTTCCACAATCAGGCGCGCGTCGTCGAGCCGCTCGGCAGACAACGAACAAAGTGAGAGGGAGAGAGAGAAAGAAATAGATAGAGAGAGTCAGAGAGAGAGAGAGAGAGAGACAGAGAGGGATAGAGAAAAGGAGCAACAGTTCCATATTCCAGAGAATCGATCATCAACGTCCTGTCCAACATCACCGACGAGGGCGGCTCGACCTCGGTGGCGGCGGGGATGAAGCTGGCGGCTGATGAAATTACACGAGGCAGAAGGAGTGACGCCAGGTTTGGGGTTTTAAAGGCACTTGCAAGGCTACCAAAAACGAGCCCGCAATTCCGTCTCCCGTTAAAAAATTTGCCGTGCACAGAAATATAGCTAGAATCTTTTAATGGCACTGTGAAGGTAAATCCATAGATTTTCTGTATTTTTCAGCTAAAAATGCGTCTAACAGTATTTGGAAGTAAAAATATCGATATTTTTAGGCAAATGGTTGTGCTTGTATCTGATGGAAACAGCCAAGACCTTTGGCGACAGGTTTGTGCTCTCTCTCTCGCGCTCTCTCTCTCCCGCTCTTTCTCTTTCTTTTTCCCTCTCTCTCGCGCCCTCGCTCCCTCTCTCTCGCTCTCTTGCTCGTTCGCTCTCGCTCACTCTCTTTCACTCTCTTTCGCTCGTTCTCTCTCTCTCGCTCTCTCTCTCTCTCTCTCTCTCTCTCTCTCTCTCGGTACCCGACTTTCTAGGTAATCCTGACGTCAGGTCTCGTAAAAGCTCTCGCCGTCGATGTTTATGCCATTACCGTACACCGCGACTATTTATACAAGTGGGAATCATGGACTAAACTCAGAATTTAATTTTTAAATCGACCGTGCCATTTTTCAAAATCCAAAATTCAGAATTTCAGACCTTTTTTACATTTTCTGAATTCAATTTCAGGGAACTCGAGATGTACTCCTCCGGTCCCGATTATGTCTTTGTCGGCCCGAAAATCCCCGAATTTCTAGGTAACTTTTAACGATTTTTGGATTTTTAATTTTTTATAGACGCCACCGAACGCGCCCTACTGAACTGCTTGGCCCCGAACGTCACCCTGGACGTCGAGGTACGGTAGCTGGGTCACTTTCCACCCCTTTCTAACAATTTTACACCCTCGCTTTATTTTTAAACATTTTCACTTTTGTCATTTTCCGCTTTTTCTCGTGTTACTTTCGACTTCTTGGCGACCTCGAGAAAGGTTGGTTATCAAAACGTTTCAGGACCGATTATGAGCCGAATTCCTGAGCAGCTACCCTTCACACAGCAATATAAAATATTTTTGAATAAAGTATACGTCATTACACCGTTATTTGCCAAAAAGCAAAAAGGTTCGCTCCTGGGTGGGTTCGAACCACCGACCTTTCGGTTAACAGCCGAACGCGCTGCCGATTGCGCCACAGAAGCGTTGGGGCAGCGAGGGGCGCAGAGAGACTATGCCGTTTAGGGGCATGGCCAGGCCGGGAGGGAAGCGAAGGCGGGTGGACAGGTGAATGTCACGCAGAGAGCCAGCAGAAAGGAGAGAGGCGAGAGAAGGAGGTATTTTTTTATTACCTAAGTCTAACTAAATAACTAAATTATGTTTTTCACGTTTTTTAGGGAGAAAGTGAGACTGCAGAGAGCGCCAGAAGAACCTGCTCGTGAAGAAAGAGTCCGAAAATTTGTCCCCAGCCGCGAGGAAGAGCAGAAAAAGTACGGATATGGCAAAAAATATGTAAATTACGTTTTTAGATGCGTGCCGAAAAAGGTGGACCTGGAGATCCTTTTGGACGTGAGCACCTCGAGGGAAGATGTAGGTCTTATAGATGCTAGCCATTTTAAAGGGAGCCTGAAGTTTTGACACTTTTCCAAGGCTATGGATTTTGGCTTAACCGCTCCTTTTATGCCTAAAATCTGTATTTTTCTTAGGTATTTGAGGGGCAGCGTCAATTGGCGATGGCTCTAGTCGAAAAGCTTCCTATTGGTGAGCGTTTTGATGGATCTTTCTCTCTCTCACCTCTCTCGCTCTCTCTCGCTCTCTATCGCTTTCTCGTTCGCTTTCTGTCTCTCGCTCTCTCTCCCTCTCTCGCTCTCACTCCCTCTGTTATTTCTAGCTTCAGAATCCGGCCACATCGCCATCGGCATCACCTCTTTCACACGAGAAGCCAAACTGCTACGCCGACTACAAACTACAACGGACCGAAGGGTACTGTATCACCTCGAAAAGTAATTTTGTTAATTCAGGAAATCCTTGACCTTCTCCGTCATCTCGAATACCGTGGCGGATCCACACTAACGGCAAGGGCAATCGGAGCCGCTCTCCAAGATTTGCATCAAAATCGGAGAAAGGACGCGGAAGGAGTGGGTTTCTGTAAACGGTGTCTGCTAGCCTGCCCTCGCTTCCTCGATGATCTCTGCTAGCCTGCCCTCGAATCACAATCCTTCCAGATAATCGTGCTTATGAACGACGGCTTCTCTCAGGACCCATGGAGCCACGTCCTCAAGGCTGCGAAAGCCATCGAGAACGCCAACGTAAAGAGGTGTGTCCCCGATTTCATGGCGTAACCGGTTGTCTGATTTTTAGATTTGGTGTTGCTCTGGGGGCAGAGGCTGATCTACGAGAGCTGAGTCTGTACATAGGAGCCCCGGAACGGCTGTACAGAGATGCGACACGGAATCGGTACGTAGTTAAGCCTAAGGCTAAGCCTGAGCCAAGCTTAAGCCTAAGCCAAGCAAAGCCTAAGTCTGCGCCTGTAGCATTTTATACAGCACTTTTAGTACGTAGCGCAATACGTTTTATACTTTATTCCATGCCTATTCCGTCTTTTTCCGGTACGACCCGGCGTAGTTGCCGTAGTAGTTCTGGTAATAGTTGTACGGGGCGTACGTTGGACTGTACGCAGGGGCGTACGGAGGTGCATAAGGTACCTGAAAATAATGGAAAAACAATAATATACATCTTTAAAGGTATGGGACATTCTTCAAAAAGCTATAGAAAATCAGTTTTGGATTTTTGCACTGGCCAAAAGCGTAGGAATTTCGGAAAAATCCGGAAAACCACTATTTTGATTTTTTAAGGAGACTAGGAAGGCAAAAAAGCCCAAATTACTCACCGACCCCCATCCGCTGTACAGGGTGTTCCAAAAAAAAAGGTCCAAGTTTGTCCCCGAATAACTCGAGAAGGAAACATATTTCACCGTGCGTTACCATGCCAGAATGCTTAAATATGTCAGGAATAGGGAAATAACCCAACTTGATTTTTTCGATTTTTGAGTACGCAACTGTACTATTGACGCTGGTTACGACCGAAAATTGTGCGTTCTTGAACGGGTGGTGGGAAAATTCTGATTTTTGGCCCAAAAATCGTTGGCATTTGTAGAAAGCTAATGTTCAAATATTAGAATTTTTGAAGCTCCAGTTCTTTTTTTACAAGCAAAACAAATTTCACTGTTTTGTATCTTTTTACATTTTAATTCGCAACTCTCTTCAAATACGCTGCCCATGGCTGATCTTTTGCAGGAGGTGTCTCAGAAAGATAATCTTTCGCACAACAGCAAATTTTACCTGATTGTATGGTATTTTAATATTGCTTGCTAAAACGTGCCCCACAGGGATACTGTAGTTTTCGTTTTCCGCGTTTTTCTTTTTATTGTAAGCTGCGATTTCGCTTAAAATTTTATCATTGGTAAACACCAGTAAGGGTCACCTATGGGCAAAATATAGCAAATTTCTAGCCACACACTTTCGAAAAATGTACAAAAAGCTGATTTTTGAATTTAGCCACGGCAATTTCTAAATATTTTAATGAATCGGTCCGAAAACTACTATTATTTGTTTTCCTGAAAGATCGCAACGTTTCTATGGTGAAAAGAACGAGAAAACGGCGATTTTCTGTTTTCTACAGTAACCCGCCTGGAGCGCGTTTTAGCATGCCAAGACAAAATTCCATAAAGTGACGGTTTTTCGGTTCTAGACTGTTCTTTGGGTGATTGTAAGAGCACCTACAAAAAATTACTTGATTCCTGTGGCAAATGACAAAGTTATAAGGGAAAGAGGAAAACCCCCCTCGGACCCCGATTTTGGACCCGACGCCCTGGCTCGAAAATCGAATTTTTGAAAATGAAAAAGCCGGGGTTTGGTGGATACAATTGTAGCACGTATTAACCTGTGCATGAGAGCAAAATTCTGGAACGATCTGGCTGAAGTTAATGGCTAATTTTGATTTAAAACCCGAACTTAACGTTTTTGAAAAGCCGACTTTGGGGCGCTCTTCTTAATTCGTTTGCCATGAAAAGGTTTTGTATTTGCATGAGTTCTAGTTGACTATCCAAGCTGAGTTTATGCCAAAAAAGTCGGGGCTACTCAAGCCTCGAGAATTTTTTTACCTCGTCCCGAATTCGGGTATATTTGGGCTCTTCATGAATTTCTTTTGAGAGATTCTATGGCCCAATAAATTTGTAACTATGATCATGGAATGCGCCCATTAAGTAGTATTAAATAAAATTATGACAACAATTCCAGCCTCTCAATTGAATTTTATAAACTGGCATGAAAGTCTGCGAAATAGCACGAACCAACCGTTTTGGAGGCCCTAAAAAGCAACCTTCCAAAGGGATACGGTAGCTAGAAAGTGTTTACATGATAGATGGACGCCAGTCCTACCCAACAAAGCAACGCAAACACCGAAATTCTATCTGCAATTTTAGAAATATTTTTCCAAAGTTCAGTTTCGTGACCTCGAAAGAATCCATGACCAGGGGGTCGTCAAAAAACTCAAAAATCCGCGGTTCTGAAAAATTTTTTTGGTATTTTTGTGGGATTGTATCGAGCCTATAGACATGTTAAAACAGCTTATTTTGAGGTTTCCACCATAGGTTTTTGTAATATTCGAAATTTACGAAATTTCTCCATATTAAATTTGAGCACGCTATAACTTGCCAACCTGACCTTCAAAAATTCTAAAATTTCGGATGTGCGTAGGGGCGATCCTGAGGTACCTACACTGTAAAAATTGGAAGTTTTCGACCACCAGCAATCCAAAAAAGTGCAAACGAAGTTTTGCCGGAACGCACAGTTTTCGGGTGTCATTTGTATGGGTACGTCGCCAAAAATCGAAAAAATCAAGTTGGGTTATTTCCCTATTCCTGACATATTTAAGCATTCTGGCATGGTAACGCACGGTGAAATATGTTTCCTTCTCGAGTTATTCGGGGACAAACTTGGACCTTTTTTTTTGGAACACCCTGTATGGAAAATAGGGTATCGGAGGCGGAACGGCGGGGGCGACTGGTGGTGCTACGGCTGAAACTCGAGAATTTGGCTGTCTCCATCCCTTTAAAAGGATGGTAGGCTAGCGGAGTCTATTGAGGAAGGGAGGGCAGGCTAGCAGAGATCATTGAAATTTCTCTTCCACCCCATGTGGCAGGCCAGCAGTGATCCCTTACAAATTTTGACGAACCTGGTGCTCCTGCTCCATAATAATACGGACTGCTGTATTGTGGATAGTAAGGTGCGTAGGGAGCTCCGTATTGTTGTGCTAGGGTTACGGTAGCCAGGGCACCAAATAGCAACAACAGCAAATATCTGCCCATCTTGGACACGCTCGAATTTTCCTCAAAAAGCGTGCCAAGACGTTTTATAGGTTTTCCCTGCACGCGCGGTGTGACCCACTGTAATTTCTGTTTTTGAAGAGGAGAGAGAGAGAGCGAGAGAGAGAGCGAGAAAGTGAGAAGCGCTCTTTTGAGCGCTTTTTCGGTCTCGGACTTGACTAGAGTACTTGAGATTTTGGCAGAGGAGCGGAATTCCCACCTTCCCAGGCTAATTACACGAAACCGTAGACTGTAGGTGGGGGAGACACACTCGAGACCGTCCAGAAATGGCTCCCCGATCGGTTCCGCTGGAAACAAATTTTCGTTCGTACTTGGTGGTCAGCGGAAAGTTGTGGCCCATTTTCCAGAAAATTTTTGCCTTCCAAGTTCCTTTAAATTGCCAAAAATGGCTCAGAACTGGAAAATGCCACTTTTAGTGTATAGCTGCTTGAAACGGAAGTAGATTCTTGGTTTCCACGTCCCGTTAGAAAAACTTTAAGGAGCTAAAAGAGGAGAATGGGGTATTTTCCGTCAGAATCTATGCTAGCCTGTCCTCGCTTCCTCCACGGTCTCTGCTAGCCTGCCCTCGCTTCCTCAATGATCTCTGCTAGCCTGTCCCCAAGATATCACGCTTTTTTAGATTTCTAGAAGACATGCTGAAAGAAATCGGCCAGGGTTGCCCGAATGAGGAGCCAGAGGTGAGGGAGAGCCAGAGAGAGAGAGAGAGAGAGGGAGAGAGAGAGAGAGAGAGAGAGAGAGAGAGAGAGAGAAAGAGACTGAGAGTGAGAGAGACAGAGTGGGTGGTGAGCAAGAGCTAAAAAAAATTTTAGAAGCCGACCCCTCGCCCGAATCCCTGTGAGCCCGAGCAGCTTGACGTGGCCTTCGTTTTCGATAATTCTGGTATGCAAATCTACTATATATAAATTTCTAATGTCCGTCCGTTCGCGCGACCGGGAATTCAGCCAATTCCGGCATTCAAATTCCAAATTCAAATTTTTTTTCGGGGGGGGAGGGGGAGGGGGGAGGGGAGGGCTAGCGCTGAACCGCCGCGTAGCGGGGGGTCAGCGCTGGTTACCCCTAAATTCTTTGTATTTTTAGTAAATTCAACTATCTCATCCGAGCGGACAGTGAATGGGAATAAATTCCTGCTGCTGGATATACTAGGTAAGTATTGAGAGAGCGAGGGAGAGGGAAAGAGAGAGAGAGAGAGAGAGATATAGAGAAAGAGAGAGAGCGATTCAACAAATTAAGGCTCCCTCGTCGGCATCACGGGAATTCGAGCCTCCCTAATCAGCACGGCCACCCCATCGGTGGTTGCTGATTTTAGCGAGATACTGGAGCGAAATCGGCTATTTGTCGCGGTAAGGGTACTTTTAAAACACAGAAATATACCTAAATAACTCTTAAAAAATTATAATCTTTTTTCCAGGCCAGAAACATCCCAGCTGTCCAGAACGTGGCCGACTACCATAAAGCCGTGACTTTTGCGCTGAAGGAATTGCGGAAAAATGCTAGGTAAGCGGAAGGGAGCAAGAGCAAGAGAGGGAGAGAACGCAAACACTCTTCAATTTTCATCTTTTAGAAAATCTTCCCGCAAGGCCCTGATCGTCGTGGGACCCGGAAGCCTAACAGAGGGCCCGATTACTGTAGAAATTGTAAGAAAAGCGGCATATGAAAATATAGACAAAAATAATACAAATTACATCCGTCATTAATTTTTCTGATGACCTTTTACCGTATTTAGCCTTCTGAAATCACTCGTTACGCCGTCGACTCCTCCGACAAGACGTCGATCCGGTCGCTGGAGATGCTCACCGGGGCCAGGAAGCATGTCTTCGAGTTTGATAGGTCAGTAAAATCTCTCCACAAGAATCCATGGGAGCCTGCCCAGCGCTTCCTCAATGGTCTCTGCTAGCCTCCCTTTTCCAGGAATGCCGACTTCGAGAAGGCGCTGTTGAAGCTGGCCTTGCCTATTAGTCGGATGTGCAAGGTGAGTGTCTCTCTCTCTTTCTCTCTCTCTCTCTCTCTCTCTCTCTCTCTCTCTCTCTCTCTCTCTCTCTCTCTCTCTCTCTCTCTCTCTCTCTCTCTCTCTCACCACTTCGTAAATCCTCGATTCCAGGATCTGCTCATGAAAAACTTCGAGCCCACCGTCCACCTCAGCAAGAAGGCCATCCCTGATGCGGAGGAGACGACCAAGAAAACAACGACTCCAGGGAGTACGACGAGGCATGTATAACTTAATTCATTTTGATAGATTCCACAAAATTCCAGGGTCCCGAAGGTCTTCCGGAATCTTGCTGCTCGAATTACTAGGTATTGAGGAAGGTCGGCTTTTACTTAGAAATATTCAGAAGCACGGAAAAGCCGACGACGACGGCAAAAACCACAACCACCAAGTTGAGGTCAAGCTCGACTTCAAGGAGTTCGACTTCTTCGAGTACGGTAGCTCTCGATGAGCAGAAGATCGAGAATTCGACGCATTTTGTGAGCGGTAAGTATTGTTGAATTTTTTTTGTTGGTCTGTCTGTCAGCCTGACTGTCTGTCTCTCTCTCTCCCGCTCTCTCCCTCTATCTGTCTCTGTCTCTCTATCTCTCTCGCGCATCAATTTATTTACCAGCCGGAAACTGTGGTGTCAATACGGGTTGTCCCATATAAGGGTTATAGCCGGGGTAGTGGCTGGCCAGGTAGAAGGTGCCGTCCGCCCCGGGGATCAGCTTCAGGCCCAATAACCTGGAAATATGCAAATTATGTGAGTGGTTTCGAATTTCCCATATGATATGGGCTAGGTTACCTAAGCATAGGCTAAGCCAAAGCCAACGCCCAAGCCCAAGCCCAAGCCTAAGCCTAAGCCTAAGCCTGAGCCTAAGCCTGAGCATGTCATACCTCGGTTGCTCCTTGTGCACCTCCAGAAATGGCATTCCCGACATGCCGGAATACCAGGGAACCGCCGGGTTTTGGGCTGCCGTGATAGCTTCACCATTATAGAAGCTACCGGTGGAGAATGGGTTTCTAAAAAATATTTTAATCTATTTTCTAGTCTTAAATCCGGACTTCTAGAGTTGGGTCACCATTTTTAGATCCTAAAAACTCACGATAACAGCAGTAACTCCTGATCGGACTTTGACAATCGTCCATTTTTCAGCACATCGCTGAAATATATTTATTTTTGTTCTAATTGATTCGAAATCTGCAAATTCCCAGTTTATATACATTTATTCTCCTACCTTTTCTGCTCCGTTTCCTCTGTTAAAATTGTCAATGCAAAAATTGAGGTAGCAATTAGGTAGATGAGCATGTTAAGTGGGGATCAAAAATTCGAGTGGCAAGCTCGGAAAACTCTTGGAGAAATCCCTCGAGATCCTGGGGAGCTCTCTCAGACATCTGTGTAGTTTTTGCACTGCTCGAGAAAGTCGACACAACGGTTCTCTCACTTTTTCTGGGGGCTGCCGCTAATTATGTGAGGGAGAGGAGGGGAGGAGAAGCGAACGGTTCCTGGAGTCTTAAACAGGATCGAAAATCGTTCGAAATTTGGGTTTGCGCGCGCGAGAGAGAGAAAGAGAGCGAGAGAGAGAGCGATAGAGAGAGAGCGAGAGAGAAAGAGAGCGAGAGAGAGAGAGAGAGAGAGGAGAGAGAGAACGTCTAGAATCCTCTTTTTTTAGGCTGTCTCCTTGACGTCCTCGTAGTACTCGACGCATCCGGCAGCGTGGTGGAGACGTTCATGCGCGAGAAGCAGCTCGTCGCCGACATCCTCAACACGCTCAGGATTGGACCGAATAACGCGAGGGTAGGTTTTTAAATACTTAAATCGGTAATTTTCTAGCTCTTCATTAATGCGTGGTATGCCGAAAACTTATTTATTAGCTGTAAAATCCACTCAAAAATTTACAAGATTGATCAATTCTTTTTGTTCTTGTCCTTCTGGGCGTTGATGGCCCCGAAAAGCTTGGTGAAGAAGTCGTCGGGGCGGAGGAGGCTTGACTAAAAAAATTGAAAATTGTCGAGTGTTGAATTTTTTAAATTAAAGGGTTGCTAAGACCAAAAACCATAGCGAGGTGCCTTCAAGGTCCTTTAAAATAAAATTCCCACCTCAACTCGTTGATCTCCAACTTTCGCCTTTGAGCCGAGATCAATACCGGCTTCCTTGTCGTAACCGATGCTTTGACCGGTACCGTAATCGCTGCCGTTCACTAGCGCACCGCTGTATCCTGGAATTCCGCAATGTTCTCTGCTAGACTGTCCTCGATTCCTCAAAGATCTCTGCTAGCTTTCCCTCTATTCTCCAGCTCAGTAATAGTTTAATACATTTTTAAGGCAGAAATCTATTGCTATCTGGCAAAGTTTTACCTTCCCAGTCCCTTTAAACCCCAAAAAGATGAGTTTTAACTTACTTTCCGTCAAGAAAGTCCCATTTCCGGTGGTGACTTTCCAGTTATTCTTGGTCCCGTGACCGAAGAAGTTGATCTCATTATCGAGCCCGACTTCTACCTAAAAAATAGTAGAGCGTGAGTTAGTGAGCCTGAGCTTAAGCCTTAGCCTAAGCCAAAGCTTAAAGCTTACCTTCCCATCCTCCTTCTTCCCGACGTTGATGCTGCCAAACGGAAGCGGAATCCGAAACTGAGCGGATCCAATGACAAATAGCGCCGTCAAGAGTAGCATTCGTTGGGCGGACATTTCGAGAAGTTTTTGGCAAGGAAATGGAGGGTAGCTTTAGAGCGGATGGAGATCTGGGTTGCTTTCTTATCAACTAGGCAGATTGGGAGGGTGTGATAAGGAACATCTGACGTGATTATATCAATATTAGGCAGATTGGGCTCGTTTTTCGTGTGAAATAAGCGCATAAAAGAATCAGGACGAAAAAATCGATACTTTATGGGCTGGAAGGCTAGCAGAGATCATTGTGGAAGCGAGGGCATGCTAGCAGAGATCCTTGAGGAAGCGAGGGCAGGCTAGCAGAGATCATTGAGGAATCGATGACAGGCTAGCAAAGATCGTTGAGGAAGCTTTCAGTTTCGAATCCCTTTCAAACACCGTATTTTTCAGGTAGCCGTCGTGAAATTCGCAGCTGAAGGCAAAGTACGACGAGTCTGGGGCTTCGATGACGTCCAGCAAAAATCAGCAATTCTACGAGCCCTCCACTCGACACCGTTTTCTTCCGGAACCACCGCCGCGCATTCGGCGTTACAACGGGTAAGCCTATCTCTCACACTCTCACACCCTCCCTCTCTCTCCCTCTCTCTCTCGCTCTCTCTCTCTCTCTCTCTCTCCTCTCTCTCTCTCTCTCTCTCTCTCTCTCACACTCTCTCTCTCTTTCTCTCTTATATGCTCTCTCATTTCAGGCAATTTCCGAATATTCCTCTGCTCGTGGTGCTCGACCTGGTCGAGCCACTCCTATCGCCATTGTCTTTACAGATGGTTTTGCGCAGGTATGCAAATCAACAATTTATTTTGAGGTTCCATTACCTTCAGAAATCGATCGAATCCGAAGCTGCTCAGCTGCGACGGTTGATTCCGAATACATTTGCCGTCGCTATCAATCAAAATGTGAGCTGAAGAAAGTGGTCGTAGGGACTTCTAGTTTAAGGCTGAACCAAAGCTTAAGCCGAAGCTGAAGCCTGCCGAAAACCATATTTTCTAGCAGCGCATCAACCGCGACGTGCTGGAGACGATCGCCGGCTCACGGAGCAGAGTTTTCACCGATGAGGATATCCAGAGGTTCCTTGACACCCTGGCGGCGCATGCAAATGATTGTCGACCGTAGGGTGGTGTAGTTTGTGGTCTACATGTTAAGAAATCCTATCCTATAATTTAATATGGTTTACATTAAACGCAGCTAGAGAGCAAATTCCGCAAGAATTTCCGTTTGCCTGCCCTTAAGCACCCGCTCACGATTCTAAATCTTTTAAATCACTTAATCCAAATTTTTATGTTTGATTTCAGCCGTTTTTAAACATTTAAGTTATGTTAATTATCATAAAAACCATGTTTTTAGAAATGATATAATGCTCATTATGGAGAAATCGAAAGTACATACATAGAATTAATTATGTTAGTTTCCTAAATTATTGAAATAGATCACGGTGGAATGGTATGCGCTAGCTACCATATTCTAACTTAATTTTGTAATAAATTGTGATATTTACATAATTATTACCTCATGACGTCGTATTTTAATAAATTAATTTTTAGCGATTCTTAGTAATTTTTAGAATTTTATTACTGTATCTTAATCTTATTACGGTAATTTTTGCATATTTTCTTACTTTTTCTTCTTCAAAATGCCCTTAAAATTGTAATTTTTGAAATTTGCATATTTTGCCGATGTGTATTATTACTGTACTTTTATACGTACTGTATTTTCAAATACAAGAATCAATAGACTTTTTACTATCGTAATCAAATGGAAGGAAAATTGCCGAGGGGTACGGTAGGGGGGCTACCGTAGGACAGAGAACAGCAAGAAATATACGCAAACTTACAAATTACAAATTGCACATGCGCGAAAATATTTATATATCGAATAAAATACAATAAAACAATCTGGGAGAGGCGTGTGTGGTATTTGTCATATTTGCAAAAAATGTCGCACAAAAAGTACAGTATCCATACAGAAAATAGGAAAAAACGTGGTTTTTGGATGTCTTTTTAATATGCCAATTTCGTGTGGGTTGTAAAGCTGGTGGTGGGGTAGGTACAGAGATTTAAGGATAAAAATAAGCGTAAAATCATGGCGACTAGAAAATAGACGGGTACGATACAATACAAAGTACAAAAGTACGGTATTCGGAGGGTACAAAGTACAAAGTGCAAAAATTCCCAAAAACGACTGTCATATAACGACATACTCTATGGTGATGAGGAGAACGAGACGAGGCAAATTAGGCCCAGATCTGAAAGATGTAGCTTGTAGTTTGCATTTTGTGCATACTTTGTAGTTTGTAATTGACCCGTAGATTTAACCACAAACCTTATCAAACCACTTTTGGCCGTTTTTAGCCGCAAAATACAGCTTTTTCGGCTAAAATTATGTTATTTTGGTTTATGTAGGTTGTTGCCTACAGTCTGTAGTGAATACTGATATTATGGTTTGTAGTTCCCCTGTAGCCTGTAGTCTGTAGTTTTGGATTTGCCTATAGTTTGTAGTTCAATGAATTGTTGTCCGGCTACAAACTACAACAACTATTTTGTAGTGTTTTGTTGTAGTCATATTACTATTTTGTACTGGCTATCTGACTACAAACTACAACAAAGCCCAGTTTGTAGTCTGTATTTTCTACCCTGCAGCTTATCGTGCACGCTACATGCAGTCTGTATAGTCACTAGTTTCTGTTTTTGTAGTTTGTAGTCAGTAGTTGCACAAAAATTTGCTGTAGTCTAGGGGATTGCAGGAGTCTGCAGCTGCAGTCTACGTCAACATACCCTAATCGTGCAGTCCCAGCTAGCTGAGCACACTGCCGTTCCGTCTGGCGACGTGCGTAGGCATGAGATACGGTTCTCGTGTCCGTACAATACAGAGTGACGCAGAACCTGAAAATTGCGATAGAGAGGGAGAGAGAGAGAGAGAGAGAGAGAGAGAAGAGAGAGAGAGAGAGAAACTATTATAGCTTACCTTCAACGAGTCCCACACGCCCACACGATAATCTCCATAGCCGGCGAACAGAATTCGGCCTGAAAACGATTATTGAAGGCGTTGCGGATGCGCTGCGGCAAAAATCAGATGTGACGCGAACGTGACGCGTTGGATTACGCTAATAGACTTACCTGAAAGCGAGAAATCAACGCCATTGACCGGGAAGAGAATGCTTTCTTTCTCGTAGACGCACACTTGCCGATCGGCTCGCAAATCGAACATGCGGCACTAAATATTGGTAAATTAGATGGATTAGATGGGTCCTCAATGATCTCTGCTAGCCTGCCCTCCCCTTCTTCAATGATCTCTGCTAGTTTACGAGACCGTAACCTACCGTAGCATCATCAGATCCGGTCGCAAAGGCATCGCCATTAGGATGGAACCGCACGGTGTTAATGTCCGATTCATGGCCCTCGAACGACTGTACGCACTGCCCGGTACGGATGTCCCACACCAGCGTGTGCTTGTCAGCACCCTAAAACGGAGTAGAAAAGCTAGGTTTTCTCAAAACGACTCTGCTAGCCTGCCCTTCCTCAAGACTCTTACACCTACCGCCGAAATGAAGATGTTCCCGGTGTCCTGCTTGGGCACGTCGAGCGCGAACACGTCGCCGGTGTGACCGTGAAAGTTTTGGATCATTTGTCCGCTTTCCACGTCCCAGATCGCGCATGTAGAGTCACCGGAGCCTAAAAAAATGTTGTTATCACTCCATCCCTCGCTCTCCCCCCCCCCCCCCCCTCTCTCTCTCTCGCTCTCACTCGCTTGCTCTCTCTCTCTCTCTCTCTCTCTATCTCTTTCTTCTGACCTGTCAATAGCAAATTGTCGGAGCGCAAAAATGTGCAACAAGACATGTAGGAGGTGTGGGTCGCGACAGAGCGCTTCTTCTGGAGGATGTCGTCCTCGAAGGAGAGGGAACCACGGAGCATTTGTTGTCGAGGCCGCTGAAATTGAGGTCATGAGTTGGTAAGCCTAAGTTAATCCTAAGCAACCTAGGCAGCCTAAGCAGCCTAAGCCTAAGCCTCAACGTACCCGCAAGCAATCATTTGGCTACTTGGCGAATATGCGCACGCCATCACCCAGGTCGTCGGCATTGTCAGCGCGTGCTCCTTGTTTGTCGTGAAGCCGTCCCATACGATCACTTTACCGTCCTGAAAAACGGGATTCAGTACGTCTAACTCTCTCTCTCTCTCGCTCACTCACTCACTCTCTCTCTCTCTCTCTCTCTCTCTCTCTCTCTCTTTCGCTCTCTCTCTCACCTGACTCGACGATACGATGTGGCGCTTGTCGGTACTCCAGTCCATACATAGCACTTTCCCGGCATGGCCCTTCAGAATTCTGCGCTGTTTGATGCCGAGCCCGCCGAGGGGGTCGAGCCGTTCGGCAGCTTGTTGGACTGGAAAGAAGAAGTTTCCACAAGAACCCCCTGCTAGTTGGCCTTCCCTGGGGATTTTTTGCTAGCCTGCCCCAAGAGCGGGACGAGTCTTCGCAAAGATCTCTGCTAGCGTGCCCGTGCTTCCCCAACGATCTCTGCTAGCTTGCCCCAACCTACTTGGGATATCGTTAAGCTTCTGCCTCTCCAGGTCGAGCTTCTTCCGCAGCTCTTCCGCCTCCTTGGCGAGCAGGTCGATCATGTCAGCTTGTCTGCAAGATTTTTATCGAGCTGTCGAAGTCAAGCCAAAGCCTAAGCAAAACCTAAGCAAAGCCTAGTCAAGCGTAAGCCTAAGCCTTAGCTTAAGCTTAAGCATAAACCTAAGCCTAATCCTAAGGAATAACCATACCTGGTGGCACTGTCGGCCGGCACCTGGGCGACGACGGCGTTCTCGGGCATTTTTGAGGTTCCGCTTGATGAGGGCTGGAATTGGGTACTGTAGACTGTAGGAAACGCCTGGATTTAAACGTTCGAACCCCTTTAAACGGCTGGACTACCGTAGAAACTACCGTACCCCCGGCTGTTGCGAAGTGGACGGTCGGTCGGCGTCGATTTTTGGAGATCCCGGCTCGCTCATCTGCCGCTTCGGCCCGCCGGATGGTTTAGTGCATTTGATTACCGGATTCCAGCAGTTGTAGTTTGTAGTTTAGGGGTTTTATAGTCTAAAACAGTGCAGATAAACATAGAAATCACTTTAATAATAGTATAAATACTCAAAATTGAGGAATATATAAAATTTAGAACTCAAATTTACTAATTTTAAATACTAAAAATGATAAAAACTTAATGAGGAAGCTTGACTTATTGTAAATGTGTGATTTTCGACAATTTTTTGAGCGCAATTAGGTGTACGTCGTAAAAATGCCGACAATATCTAGAAATTAAATTTTTAGCTATTTAAATTAAAGTAAAAATTGTACTTTTTTGAATTAATTGCTAATAATTTATTTAAATTAACACAAATTTAGTGCTATGTTTGTGTTTTCTCTGGGAATTCCGATGACACTCCCGAAAATGGGATCCCCGAAAATTGGTTTCCCGAAACTCGGAGTCCCGAAAAATCTGAGTCCCGAAAATCTGAGTCCCGAAAAATCTGACTCCCGAAAATCGGAGTCCCGAAAACTCCGACTCCCGAAAATCTAAGTCCCGAAAATACCCGCAGTGATGTGGGTTTTTTTTTGGGGCCGGAAGCCTAAAAACCAGTAGCCAAATTTTCGGGATTCAGATTTTCGGGAGTCAGATTTTTCGGGACTCAGATTTTCGGGACTCAGATTTTTCGGGACTCAGTTTTTTCGGGACTCCGATTTTCGGGGCTCCGAGTTTCGGGAAACCAATTTTCGGGGATCGGATTTTCGGAAGTATAAGCAAACCCCTTGTGTTTTCTCTGGGAAGCGGTTTTGGCTTTGAGGCGTGAAAATAGATAAGGGCAGCGCCCCGGCCTCGATTTTATTAGCCCATTCCGGAGGTGATAAGGGGCAAGAAACAACCGGAAATTAGCCCTGGAAAATCGAGAAAACAATTAAATACATAGAAAAATAGAAATAAGGTGATTTTCAGAAGTTTTTCACGATTTCTATTTAAGTGTGGCGATTAGCGTATGAAATTCAACCAATTTCAATTTCAATATTTCAATCAAATTTGCATAAATTTGTATGGAAAAAGCTTCAAAAAGTCCCAATCGTCAAGAGGTGCTCGCAAAATGAGTAAAATTCAATCCAAAAATGACCAAAAACTAAAAAAAACAGTAATAAGCAAATTTCCAGGTCCCAATAGGCCCAAAAATAGACCCTAATTAGCATAAATCGCATTTGAACAGCAGCACAATTTTCGCGCAACAAAATTCGGACCAGGGCCCCAAGGATGGGCCCCAAAAAACCAGGAACTGAAGCAAAAACCTCAAATTCGGGGGCTAGAATAGCAGGCGGAATCAAGCCTAATTTACATATTGCACTTTGCATAATTTCGAATCAAATAACCATTTTTTGGGGTAAAATTTGGGGGCCCAGGGGCCCGGGGATGGGCCATTGTGAGGCGGGGGGCCCACCCGGCCGGCAATGGTTAAAGGGGGCCAGGGGGAAGGGGAGAGAGTGGAGGGAAAGCGGAGACGCAGACGCAATGGGCGGTTGCGTCGCGTGTTGAGGGGCCTCGCCTCCGCTCCTCCTCTCCCAGCCCCCCCGTCGTCGATACACATGGCCAAAATACGAGGGAATATACGAGGGGAGGGGGGAAGAAGAGGAGAAGCTCCCCCTCCGTCTTCTTCTGATGCTCCCTGCTCTCTCTCTCTCTCTCTCTCTCTCTCTCTCTCTCCCTCTCTCTCTGGCCTCCTTCTGATGCTTCCGCTTTTTTGGTTCGGCCCCCCAGATGCGGCTCGTCTGCTTTTCTTTAGGGCGGGCGGCCCGGCTGGCAACGGGACGGGATGGGCAATTCTTAAAGGAACACTGCTAGCTTTCCGGCCCCTTCAGACGATTAATATGCTAAATTCCGCAAGAATACGGAATTCCGGAAGCATCAAATGGGCCTGCTAGCCCTTCCTAACCCTAAAACACAACAAAAATCCGAAAAAACGTGAATTTCGCCGCGAGCTAAAAGCTAAAGCCTGAAAATCGCATTCCGGTTAAAATCCCGACTTGTTCACGACGCTAGTTTGAATACCTTTTAAGCTATGTCATGGCTTCAGCCTAAGCCCAAGTCCAAGCTAAGCCTACGCCGAAGCCTAAGCCTAAGCCTAAGCCTAGTCTAAGCCTAAGCCCGAGCACAAGCTTAAGCCAAAGTATAAGCCTTAGCACTAAGCCTAAGCCGGAGCCTAACCTAAGCCTAAGCCTAAGCTAAGCCCAAGCCCACGCGAAACCTAAGACTAACCCAATTTTCGGCTTCAACCCATTTCAGACTAATTTTGGCTTCGACTCGAATTTGCAAGAAGCTCCCAAAATTAGCAGAATTTGGCCAGATACACGCGATGCAAGCACAAGTGGCTAATTTCCACCCCCTCGCGCCTCCACCCCCTCATCGTTCATTAGTGCGTGGTTTCCGGTGGTGTCCCCCTCGGGGGTGGTACACTTCAATACTACGTACCCCGCCTCGAGATTAAACCAATTTATTACAAGTCAATTCGGGAATGTACATGAATATACCAATGGTAAATGTGCGTTAAAATACGGTAAAAATGCGGCAGTTGTTGCGTAACGGACATCGATGAATTGAGGGTGGCGAGGTCAAGTTTTAGGGTTAAAGGCGTTTTTGAGGATGGGAAATGGGTTTAAAGGGGAATGAACACTTCAGTACGTCTGAGTGTCTGGAGGAGTGAGTCGGAAAAAATCGAAAAAATTGGAATTGGTATTTAGATGGCGCTATTGCGGGGAGGGGATCCGGAAGTTGTGTAGTAGCGCTCGTCGCTTTGGTAGACGATCTGAAAAAATAGGGACAGAGAAGATGAGAGCGAGAAAGAGATGGAGAGTGATAGCGAGAAAGAGGGAGAGAGAGAGAGAGAGAGAGAGAACGAGAGAGATAGAGAGAGAGCGAGCGAGTAAGAGAGATAGAGAGGGATGAGAGTGAACAAAATTCAGAGAGCGAGTGAAAAAGAGAGCGAGAGAGAGAGAGAGAGAGAGAGAGAGAGAGAGAGACCGAGAGAGAGAGAGAGAGACTCACGTGTTCAGACTGCGCGGGCGCTGCTGGGCTATAAGTTCGGGTAGTGTTGTATTGCCTTGTAGGGGTGTATGTTCTGGGTGGAGTATGGGGCTCTTCATCCAGTTGGATGACACCTAAACCAATTTCTTTCTACTAGTAATTAATCCACAGCTTTAAAGGACCATTAAAGGCAGGAAATCCACTGAAAAAAGCCTCTACAAAAAATACCCTAGATGCGGTACGAACTCTGTGGCGGGGGGTAGACGGTGGTTGAGGTCATGGTAGGGACACCCTTTCTTCTGGAGTCGTGACGATCACGCACGCCGAACCAGCCCATGAACCAGACGCCTGAAAAAGATGGTTATCTCTCGCTCTCTCTCTGCCTCTCCTCTCTCTTTTTCTCTCTCTCTCTCTCTCACTCTCTCTCTCTCTCGCTCTCTCGACCTAAACCTACCGATCAAGCAGACCAGCGGCACGCAGCAGCACAACGACAGCAAGATGATGCCGAGCAGGATCCCCCACATACGGCCCGTGTACCAGTAGTCGCCACTAGAAAAGTTTTTTTTTGACCCTAAGCCAAAGCCCAATCCTCGCCGAAGCCAATTAGCCTAAGCCTGAGTATAAGCTTAAAAGCCTAAGCCTAAGATTAAGCCTAAGCTTAAGCCAAGCCTAAGCATAAGCCTCAGCCTAAGTCTAACCTAAGCTTAAGCCGAAGCCCATGCCTAAGCCTAAGCCACAGCCTCCTAAGCCTAAACGTTGCTCTCTTACCCCCATCCATATCCACCATATCCATACTGCCTCTTTGCTCGAAGATGCGACTCCTCCGTCTCGTGCTCCTCCTTGTGCTCCTCCACTAGAGCTGCTACGGTGGCTAGCAGGACGGCGATAAAGACTATTCTCATGTAGGTGCTCATTCTGGAAATGCGGTCTGAGGCTCTAAATTTTGGCGTATCATCCTGAAACGCGAATCGAAAAAAATTGGAGAATGCTAGGAGAAAGCGGTGTAATTACATTTTTGGATGGCTGTTGCGTCATGTGAATGAAAAAATCGAAAAATGTGTTCGAGTACGCTATGCAATTTTTTCAGTTCCAGAGCGTAGTGACCCGGAATTGTAATATCTATGCATAGGCAAAAGTGAAAATGCTGGGAAAGGGTATGGTAGATTTTTTTGGATACTGTAGCAGGTAGCTTTACGAAATTCAGCTTAGTGAAATATCTTTCATCGCAAAAAACCAAAATCTCGTAATATTGAGGCTTTTAGGGGTACGGTAGGTTCGACGGTTTGAATTTCTGAAAACTGTAGTGTGGAGCCTTGCGGGATTTTGCATTTCCTAGCGCAGAGAACCCACGATTGGTTATAGCGCAACGTAGCGTAATCAGGAAATATCGGAAAATTTGCTGAAAGCTTAACGTATCTTTTTCAGTTACATTAGCGTGTGGCGGTACGGAACGTATCTTCGCGTAGTATAAAAAGTCGAAAATCTAGCAATAGAAGTCTCAAAAACTGTAAGGTGGAGCTTTGCGGAATTTCTCATTTCCTAGAGTAGAGAACCCAAAATTCGTTCTAGCGTAACGTAGCGGAATCAGTAAGTCACGGAAAATTTACGGAAACATAAAATGCTTTTACAGATACAGTTGAGTGTAGCGATACGGAATTCAACGTATTGTAGCGTAGTTTAAAATGGAAATTCGGGGAAAACTCTTGGAGAACGTAACGTAGCGTAGTCAGGAACTATCGAAACATTACTGAACGCTTTGCGTATTTTTTCAGGTACGGTAGCGGGTAGCGGTACGGAATTTAACGTATCGTAGCGTAGTACAAAACGGAAAATCGGGGGAAACGCGCTCGGCGATTCAGGAGGATTGCCAAAAATTGCGCGAGGTGTGTGGCGGGGAGGGCGGACGATGTTTTGGGTATTGTTGTGAATAGCAGGGGAGGGAGGGGGGATTGTTTGTGTGTTTCTGTGGAAATGGTTGGATTCGAAGGCAAACAACACCACAACTCCAGCCCGCCCCAATGGCCTTGACCATCCGCCCTGCCGGCCCCTAGAAGTGCAAGCCACTTTACGAGTTGGAAATTCTGCATTTATATTCATAAATAGGTTCTATTTTTATTCATTTTTTTAAAAATTATATGGATAAAATACAATTGATATATATGAACATTTTAAGTAGTTACAAATATTAATAAAATTTGCAGTATATCTTATTTTAAAAAAATCGTAAATTACATCTCCAAAAAAACTTCCTAGAATTTGAGACACATTCAATTAGCATTTTTAAAATAACGTTTTGTAGGCCTTAAAATTCTCTACAGTATGGCAAGATTTAGAATTGTGCAAAATCATTGTGAACGATGTAAGACCGATTTTCCGGGTTTTTTTAGAAATTTTAATTTCTTCTTTGCGTCAGATCTTTGCATATCTTAATTTTTACATTATTTTATTTACACCATTCAAAGGCCCACAATTCGTAGATATTTCTAAAGTTAAAAAACTTCAAAATTGACCAATTTTGGCAACATTAGACCCTTTTAAAGTTTTCAAAATCCAAAAAAAACGAATTTTAAGCAATTTAGCTGTCTCTATCTGCAATTTTTTTATCCTATACAAATCTTTAAACTTTATTTGACAAAAATTCCACTCAATCGTTGAGGACAAAAAAGGATTATTCCTAGAAAATCACAAAAAATGCATAACCGGGGCAGGGCAGTGGGTAGGGATTCGTATAGCCATGTAAATGATCAGAAAATACACAAAATGCGGTAGTTTTTTGATGGAATGAAAGACAAAAATGGAGAAAATTTGCTGATCTTCAAATGATACCATTTTTACAGAAATCACGGATTAAGGATAAGCTCAGATGCGGCTGTTATGCCGTGGGGAGGTGGAGGAGGTGTAGTAGCGGTCTTCGGCTGAGTAGACGATCTGGAAAGTAGGCTTAGGCTTAGGCCTAGGCTTAGGCGTAGCTTAGGCTTAAGCTTAGCTTAGTCTTGGGCTTAAGCTTAGCTTAGTCTTGGGCTTAAGCTTAGCTAAGCCTTGGGCTTGGGTTTAAGCTTAAGCTTAGGCTTAGGCATAGGCTTAGGCTTGGGTGAGGCTAAGGCTTAGCTTAACCTTAGGCCTAAGTTTAGGCTTAAGCTGAAGCTCATGCTCCTTGAGCAAAGTCTGTAATCTCAAAACTATGACTAAAAATACTTACATGCTCTGCGGGAACTTGGGTGGCTGTATAGGTTCTAGGCGGGGAATGGGAGCGTGTTCTATGGGTGTGGATGTTCCGGATGATGGGCTGGGGCTCGGAGTGTAGCTGGATCACGTCTGAAACGAGGTATTTTGATTGGCACATAAAACATACGGTACCTTACGCACGCTAAGTACGCTTAAGTACGCTAACATGCGCCTAATAAGCTACGCTACACTACAGTACGCTACAAAACTTCATGATGTAGACTACAGTATGATTCCAGTACAATACGCTACAGTACGCTCCGTAGGAATACGTAACAAACCCTACTCCTGGATACGGTAAGCTACATCACACAGGATTACGCAATCGTAGGCTACAAAACACTCCGTTTCCTTACGCAACATTAGACGTTCTTTCGCTATGGTGCGGTGTTCTTAGCTATGTACGTTACGATATACTACTAGCGCTACGCTAGGCTACGTTACGTTACCTACGCCGCGATCAGCTGTCAGCTTGCGTAAACCTACGTAGCGCTACACTGGAGTTCGCTACGTTACGATGCGCTACGTCACAATGCCAGATTACGCAAAGCTACTTTGCGCTACATTAAGCCAGTCCAAACCCAACCAATTTGAATATGATAGTAATAACCTAGACGCGGTACCAACTCTGTGGCTGGGGGACAGTGGTGGGAGGGGCTTGCTGCGTGGTGAAGCCTTTTCGCTTCGCTTCTTGACGTCGCTTGATGCCGAACCAGCCGAGGAACCACACTCCTGCAAATTCAAGAATTTTAAAAAAGAAAATACAAAAGGCGATGTAAAGGCTTTTAATATCCGCTAAAAATCTCTGCCAGCCTGCCCTCCGCTCCTGAACTTGCCCAAGATGCAGATCAGCGGCACGCAGCAGCAGCAGATTAGCAACAGGATGCCGATAATGATGCCGAAGATGCGCCCGGCGTACCAGTAGTCACCACTAAAAAATCTAGATCATTGAAGGTTGAGCCTGGGCTTAAGCCTAAGCCTAGGCAATGCCTAACAAGCTAACAATGTAAGCTAAGCCTAACAATGTAAGCTAAGCCGAAGCTCAGCCTATGCCGAAGCTCAGCCTAAGCTAAGCCTCAGCTTGAGCTAAGCTTACCCCCATCCGTAGCTATCGTATCCGTATTGTCGCTTAGCGCGTAGTTGTGGCCGATCAGCGTCATCAAGCTGTTCTTCTGGGAGGCCGAGCTCGGCAAGGACAACGCTGAAAAGCGCGACGGCGAGTAGAAGTCTCCACATCATTTGGGTTTCTAAAGTTAAACATATTTTTAGTGATTTTTTAAAGTAAAACGAAGAGAAAACAGGATTTTGTCTTGGTCTCTCTCTATTTCATTTTCTCTCTCGCTCTCTCTGTCCCTCTCTCTCTCTCTCGTTCTGTCTTACCAGCTCTCTCGCTCGCTCTCTCTCTCTCTCTCTCTCTCTCTCTCTTCGGGCTAACTGGCCTTGGCCGATTGCCAAAAAAGACTGTTTTGACGCGTGGGGCTACAGGTCAACAATCCCCTCCCCACGGCTAGTACACGCCGCCTTGAAACTTGTTGACGAATTGCCAGCCGGCCCGCGCTCGCGCTCCGCGCCCCAGTATGACGATAAAATCGAGGGTGAGCCCTTGTTTTTTCGATTGACTCTGACTGTCTCTAGGATCTCTGGCCTGGGCTAGGAATTTGCACTTCCTGGGGGCCAAAATCCTGTGGTGGAGACTAACTGTGAGCTAGGACAACTTCTAAAAGTAACTATAGCTGAAGCCTGACTTACAGCTAACCAAGACAAACTACAGTAAGCGTTTGCGGTCAGCTAGCTGTCACTGCCCCTTTAAATGACCCGCGCGAGCTGGGAGAGACTTTTTGAATTTTCAAAAATGGAAACGAAAAGGTAGGTAAGAGCTAGGCGTGGGTTTAGGTTTAGACATAGACAGAGGCTTAGGCTAGGTTTAGGCTTAGTTTTATGCTTCGGCTTAGGCTTAGGCTACGGCTTGGGCTTACAAGGGAACATCAAGTTGGCACGGTGGAGTTTCGAGAAACGCTCGCGGCTACCCCCAGGTTTTCGACTATGGCGATTCCAACGGTCTAGTCAGAATTTCCTAAATGGGCCTCTGGACAGAGATACAGCACTTCCGGAAAATGATGATTTACATCCGAAAAATTAGCATTAGCTATAGGTTTATGAGGCTCTCCCATCACCATGGAACCACCAGTTGAATGGCCGATTGGTAAGCGATTCACTTGACAGAATGCTGACGAGGGTTCAAATCCGCTCACGATTTTTTTATTTTGCTTTTTGACCGGAACTTTCTGCCCAACTCCAAGTATTGGTTACTTTTTTTCGAAAATTTGATTTAGGCTTAAGCTTCTTAGATTTAAACTTAGGTTTATGGTTAGGCTTAAGCTTGGACATAGGCCTATCCTTCGGCTTCCTCCCAAAAAATCACAAAATAAGAAGCAGCCAGCTGGCACGCTCACTTTAAAACGATATCCCAGCTTCCTATAGCTACCGTAATCCTACAGTAACCTAAAAAAAAAAAACAAAAAATTTAAGCTACAGTCACAAAATCCGTAAAAATTAAATTTCTCGATAAAATACCCAAAAAATGAGTCAAGCCTGGTGATGCTCGCTGCTGATTTTCGCGATGCGAATGGTTGGCCATAAAAATGGGCAGCACAAATAGAAAAGAGGGGGAATTTCCGAGGGGAGGAAGAGCCGTCATTTCGGGGGTGTTGAATGGAAAAATCGAATGGGATCTGCGCGCGCAAGGGCCGAGTCACCCAGCCCGTTTTTGCGTATTGTTGAGGAATTCGAGGAAGGGGGATTCGGGGGAGAAATTCGATGGGGCTTTCCGGGCCATTGGAGGAATTAGTGATTGACTACGGGGAGGGCTATGGAAGGCTGAGGAACGGGTTTTAGTGCTTGGAAGACGAAATTTTTGGTACAGTAGTGTGGCTTCATCTGGGTTTTAAAGGGACCTGCAAGTCAAGCCGAAAAATCTCGACAGACGAATCCCGAACGCCAGAATGCCGACAGCCGTAATCCCAACAGCCAAAATCCCGACGGCCAAGATGCCGACAGGCTTAAATCCCGAAAGTCAGAATGCCGTCAGCCATAATCCCGACAGTCAAAATCCCGACAGATTCTTGATACTGCTTTTTATGCCTTGCTTCCTCTTAAACAGCTATTTTGCATGTCGGGATTTTGGACGCCAGATTTTGGTTTGTCGGTTTTTCGACTTGTCCGGGATTTTGACCGTCGGGATTTTGGCACCTTCCCTCTAGCCTACTTTTACATGGGAAAATTATAAAACCTAGCCTACTACGGTAAGCCAGTGGACAATAAACGTCTCAGTCCAGGCTACAGTACCCTCTATCTCTTGGAACTCCGCTACCGTAGTCACGCTACAAAATCCCGTGCATAAGTGTACGTTGGCGTACTAAAGCTACAAAATGTTGTCTATCGTGGTTTTCGGAAAAATTGAATAGCTGTATGAAAAGCCGAAGCTGCCGTACCCAAAAAATTCGCAACCCTCGAACCGTATTCAAAAAAAAAAATTCGTCTATAGGTGTACTTCGGAAAAAACAATGAACAGTAAGAAAATACGATATTCGGCTAAAGCTACCGTATCTAAGGAATTTTCATCCGCTTACCGTAACCCAGTAGGTTCGAGATGGACAGAGGTCAGTGTCGGAATCCGAGAAAAATACAGCCAAACTGTATCAGGGAAGATACGGTAAAGCTAGCAAAGGTGTACTTCGGAACCCAACGGTACAGTAGGACCAAAAAAGTTGGATTTTGCAAGAATTTGGAAGCCACCGTATCCAAAACTGTCAATCCAACTACCGTACCCCTTGGTACCAGACCGTACGGGGGAAAGTGTCGGAATGGGGTGGAATGAGCGGGGCGAAAGTGATGATAGCTGTAGAAGTGGGGTGGGCCGCGTGTATCGAGGACTGGTACGTACCCGGCGTGTGGCCCAGCCTCCCTGTGTAGATGTACAAGTACCCCCTTGACATCCCACCGCGGCTCCGCGATATTCAGAAGGGCCACAATTTCCAGTGAATAGGCCAACACGACGACCTGCCCAACCAGTTCAGCTGTCTCCATTTCAGCAGTATTTGCAAGCGGTGAATGTCGACAGGTTCTTTTGGAGGGGTACACGTTTTGGGGCGTCGATTTTTGAGGCGCCAAATGGTGTTTGCTATCTTGCCTTACAGTTCAGGATTTCGAGAATTGCTGTCCGGGTAAAACTCTGGGTCCAAAATGGTCTCTGCTGTCAGCATAATGCATATCTCTCTCCCTCTCTGGCGCTCACTCTCACGCTCATGCTCACTTCGCACTCTCACCACCCGTCTCCCTCTCAATCGCTGATTATCCCTCTCACACGTTCTCTCCCTCATTCTCATGCTAAATATCTCTCTCTATGTCTCTCTCTCTCTCTCTCTCTCTCTCTCTCTCTCTAGCTCATTCTCGCGCTGTCCCGCTCTGCCGCTCTGTTTCAGTCTTTCTCCCTCGCTCTCCCACGCTCACTCGTTCACTCTCACTCTCACGCTCACCCTGACCCTTTCTCTAACTCTCCATTCTCTCACGCATTCTCTTTTTCAATCTCAGGCTGACTCTATCTCGCTCAATCTCCCACTCTCCCACTCCCTCTCACCATCTCTCGCCGTTCCTCTCATTCTCTCGCTCTCTCACTCTTATTCTTTGACTCTCCCTCTGATGCCCGATCATTCTTTCTCACTCTAACGCTCACCTGACTCTATGCCTCACCCTTTCTCTCTCTCTCTCTCTCTCTCTCTCTCTCAAACACACTCTCCGGCTTTCTCTCATTCTTCCTTTCGCGCTCACTCGCTCTCACGCTCCCTATCGCTGACTCCCACTCTCTCACCCGCTCTCTCTCCCGCATTTTCAATTCCAGTCTAATAAAACACTTTATTCACAAATATTACCATGTAAAAATCGGGGGCTACCACTGCATAACAAATACACACATATTTCACAGGTAACCCGTAGCATTGGCTGAAATTCGTAGTGGTTTGGACCGTTTCTTTGACGAGGAGTACTTCTTAGTGTTCTTCTTCTTCTTCTACTGATGTGTGGAGCGTCACTACGCCATGCTCCTCTAGACGGACTCGCCGAAGAAGGCCGTCCTTCTTCTTCTCTTGTCGCCACCGCCCAAGCATTTGATGAAGTACACCCAGAGAAGGGCAGAACATAGGCACATGATTCCGACGACCGCCACGAACATTGCCGTTGCTCTGGAATATGGTAATTGTCATTTTGTTTTTTTTTTCTGGATTTTAGGGTTTCCTCAATGATCTCTGCTAGTCGGCCCTCGCTTCCTCAATGATCTCTGCTAGTCTGCCCACGATTCCTCAAAGATCTCTGCTAGCCTGCCCTCGTTTCCTCAAGGATCTCTGCTAGCTTGTCATCTTCGGTTCATCCTCACGCCCTTTTCCCAAAGGTTTTCTGCTAGCTTACCCGTTTCGCGAAAGACTATGGCATGCTTGCTCCCCGCTCTCTGCCTCTCCTTCTCTCTCGTTCTCTCATTCTCTCATTCTCTCTCTCATTCTCTCATTCTCTCCCTCTCTCTCACTCACTCTCTCTCCCTTTCTCTCCTCTTAAGAATAACTTACACAGTCACAATATCACTAGTTTCGCTCGCATTTGCCGCCACGGCCACCTCATCGGCGCTCATTTTCTGAAAATTCGGATTAGAAGAGAGCGAGAGAAAGAGAGAGAGAAAGAGAGAGAGAGAGAGAGAGAGAGAGAGAGAGAGGACAGGGAGAAAAAGATAAAAACCATCTGACGAACGCAACCATCCCCAAAAAATGGAACGACAACAATATTGCCATACCCCGGAATGGGGCCCAGTGCTTAGGAGGCCCAAAGTGGCATTGCGAGGCCCTCAAGCGTGAATCCGATGGATGGAATTTGTTGGGGGCCCTCCTCCTCAGAAGGAAGAGTGGCCCACCCACCTTCGAAGACTTGCCAGAGAAGAAGGGGACCCGGGAATTTGATTTTTATCCACGAAATTCGGGGGTAGAGGGCCCAATAGGAAACTTGGGACATAGTAAAGGGCCCTGAGGGGAGTCCAAAATAGAGCAGAAGGTGGGGGAAGAACAAAAATGCTGGGACAGGCTAGCAGAGAGCATTTAGGAAGGGAAAAGGGTCGCAAAGGGACACAGGAATGACTGATTGAAAAGCGTCTAGTTAGTTCGAGTATTTTGACTGTCGACGCATTAATGACAGGCTTCGAAACAAAATACTGCTAGGTCAGCTAGCAGAGAGTACAGGAAGCGATGGCAGGCCAGCAGAGACATTTCCGGAAATGCAGACCACGCTACGCCTATGATGATGCATTTTACCCTATGATGTGGGCAAAGTGGAGAAACATCAGGGAGCAGGAACCGGGAATTTGGCAAATGAGCTCGAGGCTTCGACTTTGAGGTGACGTTAGGGCGAGAGAGAGAGAGAGAGAGAGAGAGAACGAACGAGAGCGAGAGGCACAATGAGAGAGTGAGAGAGAGCCAGGTAAAGAAGAAGAGAAAGGAGGGCCACAGAAAGAGCTAGAGAAACAGAACCAGGCCGGCAGAGAAAAAAGCGCTAGAGCCGGTGAGAGAGAGAGAGAGAGAGAGAGAGAGAGAGTGACAGACAGACAGACAGACAGAGAGGGTGTGTGAATTTGAGCATTACAAATTTCAAAAATCCCAAGATTGAAAACAGCAAGGTTGACCCCACGACTCCGCGGGGCGCCAAGAATTGTTTATAAGCCAAAATCCCTGCGCCGACCCGAGCCAACCCCACTCGCAAGAATTTTAAATCTCCAGGCTTTTCCTGGAATTTCCTGGAATCCAGGATTTTTCTGGGTTTTTTTAAAGGACTTTAAAGGCTTCTTAAAACGTGGAAACAAACGAGGGCCCTCAAATGGTCCTGGGTGCCCGACCTCTTTCAGTGGGTCCAATTAGATTCCGGGTGGGGCCCGTCCCTCACCCACAGATTCGAACACGACGTGCAAAAAAGTGGTCGCTTTGTTCGTGATAATCCGGTTGAGATTGAAAGAGAAATGGGTCGAAAATCTGGTGAGAAACGAGTAAAGTGTGCATTAAAGGATCCGGGTATGCAAATTAAGGAAGTTTGAATGGGGAGAGAGCGAGAGAAAGAGAGAGAGAGATAGAGCGAGAGAGAGAGAGAGAGACAGAGAGAGAGAGAGGGCGCGTAAGAGAGCGTGAGCGATATGGCGTGAGAGAGTAGGGGATAGAGAGAGAGCGAGCGGAGACGAGAGAGAATTAGATAAAGATAGAGAAAGAAAATATAGATAGAGCGAAAGAGAGAAAGAGAGAAAGAGGCAGAGACAGAGAAAGCGAGTGAGAACGCGATAGATAGAGAGCGCGAGATCTGGAGCCTGAGTGAGAGAGGGAAAAGGCAGAGAGCAAGGGAAAAATTGAAGTTTGTATTGAATGAATCCTGAATTTCAATCTAAACGTCTAAAAACGCTCGGCTGCTTGCCCGAAAAAATATTTCGGCTTTTCCGCCTTCCCGATTCCTTAAAAATTTAATTCTAATCCCCCAATCGGCTGAAAAACGGGTTAGGTTGACAATCGAGGATTTCTCGGCTCTAGCATAAAAAGGAAGGCAGCAAATTTTGAGTGAAATGGGTAAGAGAGAGAGAGAGCGAGGGAAAGAGAGAGAGAGAGAGAGTGAGAGAGAGAAAGAGAGAGATCCCTGGTCTCCGACTTCGAGCTGATGCCCCGGGGGCATCAACTGGTGTGGGTGGGGTCTTTGGCCCCGCCCGAACAGATTGATGCCTTTAGGGGAGCAAGAAGCTTCAGGAGAAGCCTTCCAAAAAGGAACCAAAACCCGGAAACAAAGCTTCATAATACTCCCCCGGGGAGGGGCAGAACCCCGGGGCCTATCTGTTGGAAGCTTAGGGCTGTTGAACAACACCTTGGCAAGATGAGGTCGGTCATACGGTATGGTAATCGGTGAGTTTTAAAGGGAATAGAAAGGCAAGAGTTTTTAAAGACGATTTTTTATGAAATTCTACAAACTTTTTGCCTTCCTAGTGCCTTTAGAAGGCGAAGACAGAACCAAATGACTGACTAAAATTACATTCTTTGCAAAAATGTGTAATATCGAGATAGAGAAAAGAGAGAGAGAGAGAGAGAGAGAGAGAGAGCGAGAGAGATGGCTAGAGGGAGAGAGAGAGGGAGAGAAAGAGAGAGAGAGAGAGAGCGAGAGAGATGGCGAGAGGGAGAGAGAGAGAGGGAGAGAAATGGAAAACCTTGAATCATTCTGGCTGAATTCAAAATTCCGCTTCATTTCACTTTCCCATCCCAGAAAATTTGCGATTTTATTTTTCGATCTGAGAAGCTGGGATAGAAAATTTGTGAAGCTGCACAGTAGCTGAATTCTAAGCCTGAGTTTAAGCCTAAGCGAACGGTTATCGAGACAGGAACAGCGGAACAGACTTTAAAGTCTGGCTCAAGCTCTCATAACCACCTGGGGGTGTAACCGCAGTCGAGAGAGCGAGAGAGAGAGAGAGAGAGAGAGAGAGAGAGAGAAAGGACAGCTGACTGACACTAACTCCCTTCCCTGCCATCCCCTATGCGAAATCGCGGAAAAACGATGGTGTCACGTCATAAATCGTCTTGCCGACCGCCTGTTTGCCGCTTGCCATCACAGGGGTGGCAGCATAACATATTTCCAAGGCATAGCCCACGCGCGCACTTTGAACCCAGTGTTTTTGGTCATTTAAAGAGAGCGTGACAGCTGGAAAACCCATTACAGTACACATCAAAGGGTCGGTCTACTGACAAGGAGACGTTTTTGAGTGTCGTCGGGACTTTGGCATGGGACTAAGCCTATCTTGTGCAGAATTTTACGCTGATTCCGAATATGGTAACCGTTTTTGCGGAATAGCCATTTCTCGAAAGCTATGAACGATTTAAACCTCAAAACAGTCCAAAATCGGCTACTTCCGATAGTTATCAAAGACTTCGGAAAAGGTTTTAGACAAAACCAGATAGTGCAGCTTGTTCAGAAAAAAATTCTCTATAAAATAAGCCACTTAACTCAAAAATGTTGGAATTATGAAAATTTCTGTAAAATTAGGGCAATTTATCAAATTTTTCCAACTTTTCAATGATTTTGGAGAAGATGGTACATTTTATAGAGAATTTTTTTTCTGAACAAGATGGACTATCTCGTTTTGTCTAAAACCCTTTCCGAAGTCTTTTATGACTATCGGAAGTAGCCGATTTTGGGCTGTTTTGTGGTTTAAATCGTTCATAGCTTTCGAGAAATGGCTATACCGCAAAAACGGTTACCATATTCGGAATCAGCGTAAAATTCTGCACAAGATAGGCTTGGTCCCATGCCAAAGTCCCAACGACACTCAAAAACGTCTCCTTGTGAGCTGATCATTTTCGAAAAAATAAAAAACTGAAACAAGAATAAGAAAAATTGAAGCAAAAGCGCTATAAAAAAAGCTTCTGTGCCGAGAGAAAAATCTCGACAAAGCGCTGGCCTGAAAACAAATTTGTCGACCGGAAGCAAGAACCCTTAAAAGCTTTTTGAAGCTACAAATTGATTTATTTCCGGTCAATTTTATGATTTTCTAGGCCGCTTAAAAATGTCTAAGAGTCTAAAAGTCGAGATTTAGAAAAAATCGGCTATAAAACTACCAGTTAATTGTTATGGTCCAAAATTAACCCGCCCCCATATCGGAAAATATTTTGATTCCCCAGTCCTCCTCCTCCTCCTTCTCGTGCTCCCCATTGGCCAATCGGCTGGAGGAAATTACGCGCGTTGACTGACGTGTGTGAGTGGAAAATAGATTGAGAGCATGGCAGGCGAGTGAGGGCAGGTACATTTTGGGCCCCTGAGAAAATTGCCTAATATAACTGAGCATCAGCTTAGGCTTACGCAAAAAACCCGACATGCCAGAATTCCGACAATCAAAATCTCGACGACTAAAATCCCGATAGGTCAGAATACCGAAAGCCATAAAACTAATGGCCAAAACCCCGACAGTTAAAATCCTGGAGGCCCCGCCCGGACGCCCAAAAATCCCGACAGCAACCCGTCGGGAATTTCAAAATACCGACGGCAAAAACACCGACAGCTAAAGTCCCCGAAAGCTAAAACCCGACAACAAAATACCGACAGCCAAAATCCCGGCTGATGCAA